ACAAGCAGCACATTGCTTATTTCTGTCATGTCCTCTCCAGCCTGCGGGGCAGCAGCACATGCCTGGGGCTGTGGCAGGAGTGTGGGGGAGTGTCACAGCATGGGAAGTTACCCCCATTGACCATCTTGACCCCCCCACCTTGCCTCTTGCCCCAACTCCTGAGCCACCAACTGTACCTCTGGCCCATCCACTGGGCTTTAGGACCAATCAAGCATCAGCTCTGAGGGCAGGGCCTTAGGGCACAGAGCACAGCAGTGCCAGGGACACAGCAGTGGTAAGGCCCCAGGCATAATGCTGATTTCACATAATGACCTGGCCTTTGGAGTGGGTGTATGTAAATATAACAATGCACCCATTACCTCATAGCCTTTCAAATGAGAAGTCGAACTGACCATTGTGTGGCTGTCTGGCACTCTTGGCTGAGTCTGTTCTAATGTTCGTATTCTCTGCTAAAGTTACTCTGATCATATCTAAGCCCAGATGGTCTTACACAGTCACTTCCCACCGTTAAATGTACCTTTGAACAAATGTGAGGCCTCTCTCGTTCTTTCCATTTCTGCACTGATTAAATGGCTGCTTGTGCAATTTTGCGAGCAGCTTTCCTACTTTCTTAGACTTCTGTGCATTTCAGACACTTTTGATCTAGTTGTTGCTTTTTTGCCCCCAAAAGATCCTTTTAATAAATCTAGCATCTCACCTATATGCCACCTTGACGGCAGTCTCAGCTGGATCCAGACTCCGTGCTGAGTAACAGCCTCTCCTTTTGAGACCACCTCGGATCATCAACACCAAACAGAATGGACCGGCAAGAGCAAGGCTTTGGGACTTGGAGCTTCTGGCATTGAGAGTTGCCATTGGCCACACCTCTCCTGGGGCTTGCAACAGCCTCCCCCATTATGGTCAGATCCACAGCAGCCAGATGCATCCCCCAGGTGGGAACACACCCACCGCACCTGCATCTGGAGCCTGGTGAAGGAGGAGATTCATTTCTCAGCTGTTTTCTGATAGTGCTTTGTCTGTGCCTTCTTACACCTTCGTACAGGTGGGGTAGAGTTTTTGATTTCTCACCTGCAGGCTTAGATATTTTAAAAGACATGCATCATGGAGATAAGTTCTGATTACTGTGAAGATCAGTGGGTTAAATAAATACTTGTATTCATTTGCAATCACTGCTGTAACAATGACCACAGATTTAGTAGCTTATGACAACACACATTTATGATCTCACAGTTCCGGAGATCAGAAACCCACCACAGCGCTCTCTCGCTGACCTAGACCACGCTGTCATCAGGCTGTGTTCCTTTCTGGGGCTTTTAGGAGAATCTGCCTCATTGTCTTGCCCATCTAGATCACACCCATTCTGTGACTCCTGGTCCCCTTCCTCTGTCTTCCACGCCAGCAAACATGGGTCAAATCCCTCCTCACCCTTCATCCCTCTGACCTCTTCAGGTTTTAAGGACCCTTTTGACCATATTGGTCCCACCTACATGGTCAAGGGTACACTCCCAATTTTCTTTTGGTTACATCGCTTTTATTTTATTTTTTAAATCATTTTATCGGGGGCTCATACAACTCTTATCACATCCATCCATCCACCCATCCATTGTGTCAAGCACATTTGTACATATGTTGCCATCATCATTCTCAAAACAT